GTTCCTAAGCTCTCAAAGTCGAAACTTGTAGAATAATAACGTTTTGGGTTTATTTCCGACTTAAGTCGCATCTGTCCCGCTATGGAGGACCTAATCCAGCTACAGCGGCTCCGCCCTGGCGGGAATAATCCCGCCATGGCGGCTTGCACAAAAACAAAGAACCAAATTAATAGTTCCAAACCCTCATTTCATAACACACCTTCATCACACGACACTCAGAAAATACCCGTTCACGCTAAGATCAGTTTCGGGAGTTCTACTCACCCAAATTCTATTCCATAAAGTCATATGGGTTCCTTAACGTCTGTGATATCTACTCATATGATCAAATTCATAATTTGATCTCCCGTTTGTTACCAGATTTCCCTAGACCTCACTGACTCCGATTTCGTCCAAATCTGGACTAGGTTGAGAATTTTAAAATACTACCAAAAAGTTTTTCGGCCCAAAAAATTTTCCCGTTGGCTTTTCTATAATGACGGGAACCGGGCGTTACAACTCAAGGTGATGACAAATGGAAAAAATTACTTAGTGTTTTTTTGTCTCCGCTGAATTTTGAACTTGAGATCTTAGGATTCTCAACCATTTTATTGACCACTAGGTCACATCATTGTTCGTATTTTATAAAATTTCCCCAATAACGTTATTTTTTAGTAATCTTAGAAGCTCAAGAATTAGATTATTGGATATTTTGAGGGTGTTTGGATTGGCTTAAAAGTTGGTCAAACCTACTTTTAAGTCAGTTTTTTACTTCTGGAAGTGTTTGGCAAATATAAAAATAACTTAAAATAAGTCAAAAATGACTTAAAATAAGTTTAAAATGACTTAAAATAAGTCAAAAACCAAAAGTAGGTCTCCTCCTACTTTTTATTTTTTGAGTTAAAAGTCATTTCAGTTTGACTTTTTATTTTTGACTTAAAAGCTAATTTTTTAAGTCAATTCAAATGGGCCCTTATGTTGCCTTTTCAATCTCATATCTAAAATCAATTTCGGTGGAGCTCAAGCTCCTTTATTATTTTTAAAAAAAGTCTCATGTTTTACGTTCAGACAAATCTATTAATTCGATTTTGTTGGTTATGGTGACCTTTTCAGTAACATCAATCAGTTTCAATAATTTTTATTCAACATTGAAAACATTATTGAAATTTGCAACAATATACCTAAATTTAGACAATATTCGTATCAAGCCATCACATTCCTTCCCAATTATGATGCACTAACATTTATTATTTTCTACAAGCCATGGAATTAATAATCTTGTTACCAATAGAATCATAAATTAACCAAGAAAGGTTGTGGTGCAACATTACGCGAAATTATTTCATCCTTAACCAGAGGTCTAAAGTTCCACCTCCTGCAAAGAGTGATTTAAATTTGAACGGGCTCCAATGTGGGCTCCGATAACCGGGTGGTAAATCAAAAAATTAAATAGAACAATAAATTATATGGGTATATTTGAGAAACGTAAGTTCTTAACTGTAGGTCTGTGCAAAAATCGGGTCAAACCATTAACCCGAACTAATTTTTGGTTTATTGGGCTAACAGGTCGGGATATTGGGTAATTGGTTCGGGGCTCGGTTCATTAATTTTTTTTATTGGATTAACGGTTCGGGGGTCGAGTTGGGAAGGAAAAATTTCGGGGTACCCGATACCCCGATAAGGCCCGCTATATTTTTTTCCCTAATTTCTAATTTTAGAATTCTCATTTCTCTGTTAGGGACTTAGGGTTTTTAATTTTTAGGACTTGAAAGTTGAAACTCTTCTCACTGCTCCTCTCGTTTCTCAAAATTCGAAACTCCAAAGTTTCTCCAATTTCCAAACTCATGCGAGGCGATGACTTGACTCCAGTCACTCTCACTCAGGTCTCAGGCGTCCGGCAAGGCGACGGGAGTAGTCACTCAGGCAAGGACGCAACTTGCAAGGTAACGATTAACGATGACAGTCTGACACCTCAAGCTTGCAATTTTTTTATTCGTTCCATTTATCATCATGTGTCTATTTTCATGATTCAAACGAAGGAACAGAATATTGACTATATTCAATGCATTTGAGTACTATATTCTGGTCTAATGGATGATTTTCATTTTTTTGGATGGTGCAGTTCATTTGTAGCAGCTTATTTTTCATTGGTGTTAAAATTTCCTCCTTTAAATGTCATTTGTTGGTTGTCTAATAGGTGAACAAGCTCAAATTTCAGAAGTTAGAAGCTCGACTGCTCGAGACTAGACTTCGAGTCTCACTCTTCTCAGTTCTCACGACTTCTGCACAGACCTACTCGGCTCTCCAGTCTTAGGTTCTCACTTCTTAGTCGCTCACTGCTCACGCCTCACAAGTAAGTCTCAAAATTTTAAATTCACTTAATTTCAAGATTTCACTATGAAATGTGATGTTTGGATTTGATTTATGAGAAAATGATTGTGGCTGCACTTTAATTTCACGACATTTTAGATTTGAATAATGAGAAAACTACAATTGAAATAGTTAAATAGACATTACTGTTTTATTTGAAATGGCATTTGGTTTGTTTGGCACTTTGGCTCATTTGCTTGTACTTGTCTTTTAGTTGCTGACTTGCTGCTTTGTGTGATACTGTGATGTGTTTATTGTCATGACTCAAATTGGGGTTCAGATACATTAATTCTACTGGAGGATGAAATTTCACTAACATTATGTTCTACAACATAGACCAACTTAATCAATACTGTGATTCAGCAATTCTTATTCTTTTATCAAAATTACACAAACACGATTACACACTACAAATCAAAAGCAGCAGCTTGACAAGGAAAATAAATAAATAAAGAATGTAGTTACTATTTCTTACCATAGATGGAAGAATACAATGTAGTCAAGGTTAGTAAAAAGCCAACCTTGTTTTAACAAATCTTTACCTAATACTCTGTATCACTTATTAGACGCCTATGCCGATTGTAATGCTTCTCAATGAAGACCTTTGAAGCCCCTTGTACAGTTCTGCGCCAAGTCTATGTACAAGAAAGAAAGAAAAACTAATTACTCTTTGTTTAGTTCCTTCAAGGCTTTAATAGTTCATTGCTTCATCGACCTCTTATAAAAAATAGTTCAATAAACGATTATTTTATATTTTTTCACAGTTTTTGGTGAAAGTATCATGGCTGAAAATATAATAATTGATAAGGTTGTTGGTGAAAGTGGAGCTTCTAATTCAAATGCAATAGGTCAAAGTCAATCTGTTGAGTCCCAAGTAAAGAAAGGAAGGAAAAAAAGATCTCGTGCATGGGATCATTTTTCTCGTAAAACTGATTCTGATGGAAGTGAAAAAGGTGTTTGCAACTACTGTAAGAAAGAGTATTTTGCTGACACAAAAGAACATGGTACGACGTCAATGCTTACTCATATTGCCAAATGCCCAAAGATGCCTTATAATATTGATATTAAACAATCAAAATTAGCATTTCAACCAATAATAGGGGGTAACAAGGGTGATGTAGTTGTTGTTCCATGGAAATTTGACCAGGAAGAGTGTAGAAAGGCCTTGTGTCGTATGGTAATTATTGATGAACTTCCTTTCAGATTTGTTGAAAAGGAAGGTTTTAAACAATTTATGAAAGTAGCACAACCTTGTTTCCACATTCCTTCCCGTACCACTGTGACTCGTGATTGTTTTGATCTTTTTTATGAAGAAAAACATAAGTTGATGGCTGTTTTTAAGGAAACACAACAAAGGGTGTCTTTAACCACGGATACTTGGACTTCCATTCAAAAAATCAATTATATGGTCATTACTGCTCATTGGATTGATAAGAATTGGACTTTGCATAAACGAATTATCAATTTTTGTCCAATCTCTAGTCATAGAGGTGAAGATCTTGGAAAGTCTATTAGTAAGTGCTTACATGAGTGGGGATTGCATCAAATTTTCACTGTTACAGTTGATAATACTAGTTCAAATAGTGTGGCAATAACTGAGTTGTCTAAGCAACTAACTAAATGGGGGACCAACCTAATGGGTGGTAGTCACCTTCATATAAGGTGTATGGCTCATATTGTAAATCTTATTGTTCAAGACGGTACAAAAGAAGCAAATGTGTGTATTGAACGGGTTAGGCAAGCAGTAAGATACATCAGGCAATCTCCTGCTAGGTGGAAAAAGTTTCAAGAATGTTGTGAAGATGAAAATCTTGCTAAAAAGTCTTTATGCTTGGATGTTCCTACAAGGTGGAATTCCACCTACATGATGTTGAATCGGGTTATTGAATATGAAGGTGCAATTGTAGAGTACGCCGATCGTGATATTGGCTTGGCACTACATCTTAAGTTTGTTGATATTGTGGATAAAAATTCTACAGGTACACTTTTGAGTAGTGATTGGGAGGGCGTAAAGAGAATTACAAAATTTCTTGAAATGTTTTTTAATCTTACTTTGAAGATATCTGGATCACGATATGTTACATCAAATCTGCATTTTCTTGAAATTTGTCAAGTTGGTGTTTACTTGAATCAATTGATATCAAATGAAGATCATGTTTTGGCTAAAATGGCAGAAAATATGAAGGAGAAATTTGACAAATATTGGGGTGATACTGAAAAAATGAATAAGATGGTTTTCATACCATGTGTTTTGGATCCTCGTCACAAATTTAGCACTCTTGGCTTTGCACTTAAGAAGATGTTTGGAGAAAAGGGGGCTGCTGTAGAAATTAGTGTGCGAACGTACATGGAATCTTTGTTTAATGAGTATACAAAGCATATTTCAAATGATAAAAATGGTCAATGTTCTTCAACTGAGGTGGATACTTCTGATTCAAGCTCTGTAAGAGGCTTGGGAATTTTTTTTGAGGAATTACAAAAACATACATCTCAAAGGGGAGGAGCAAGTTCAAAGTCAGAATTAGTTAAATATCTTGATGAAGAAATTGAAGTTGGAAAATCAGATTTTGATGTATTGCTTTGGTGGAAAGTTAACTCACCTAGATTTCCACTTCTTTCTGAGATGGCTCGTAATGTGTTGGCGATTCCCGTTTCAAGTGTGGCGTCTGAATGTGCTTTTAGTACTGGAGGGCGCATACTTGATTCATTTAGGAGTTCATTAAACTCCTAAATTGGTACAAGCTCTAGTGTGCCTTCAAGATTGGCTTCGGAGTGAGCCACAACCCATAAGTATTGAGGAAGATTTAGATTTTCTTGAGCAACTTGAAGAAGGTAAGAAAAGAACCTCATTGATGTAAAATTGTGAATAGTTTATTTAATATTTTTATTGTTTAAGCCTTGAGCCTTGACTTGTTATCGTATTTCTCTTTAGATTTGGCTAAACTTGGAAAAGAACTTTGCATTGATGACATGTAAAATTGGAGGTTTCCTTCACTAACTCTACTAAAGGAGAAGGAAGGTAGATGTCTCACTATTGAGGTGGATTTTTATATACATGTGTTATCTTATCTTTATGTCTGATTTATGATTGACTTCTCTTTTTTGATGACTAATGAGTGTTAAATTATGGTTAATACAAAATACTTGTGCAAAACAAGCTCCATGTAGAACTTGGTGTTCTTCATCAATTTATCTTAACTTTTCTTTCATTTTTTGCCATCAAAGTATCTAATACTTTCTCTGTTTCTTTGTCAATCAGATTTCATCATGCCTCGACTTCATGATTCTAATGCTCGATCACCTGTTTGGAATCACTATGAAAAGCTTGAAGAAAAAGAAGATGGATCGTGGACAGTAAAATGTGTTCATTGTGGCCGTGTTACTTATTACCATTCACACAAAATTGGGATTGCCTCCTTAAGGAAGCATGTTAAGCGTTGTTTGGAAAATAGGAACCAGAATCGTCAACTCTTAAGGATTGATGACTAGTTATTATTTTGTTTACTTGAACGTGAACTTTTAGTACTATGTTTGGACTTAAATTTTCAGGTTGTGTGACTGCTATTTTAAATTTTTGAAATTCTATTTGTGCCTGTGTGGGCTGTGACAGACTGGCAGTGAATGTTGTGCTGCATTCTGCAATGTTGCTGGCTTGCAGCTTGTAGTGCTGCTGTTTTATTCAGCCTTTGATGGGTTGATGTGCTCTTTTAATTTCTTCTGCTGCTAAGTGTTTGTAATATTTTGCTATATTGTTGGAATTAAATTGCTTCCTTGAGTCTAGTTTTGTCACCATACTATGGGGATCACTTTGCAGTAGTCTATAACATTTATTGTTTGAATAATGTTATGATGCTTAAAATGCTTTCCATGATATGTGTCTGTCACAAATTTTCTTGATGGACAGAAGTCCACCTTTGAGATGTTACTGCATGTTAGTAAAGGAACTAACTTCTTTGCCATCACTGTATCAGATGAGGAAAGTCGATATGCTTGATGGGGTTACAGTTGTCCGTTCTGAAAAAGTTAAGTATGAATTAGTATTGGATGGAAATGACATTGAACTTGTTTCTTGGTCTGCTGCCCTCATAAACCAAGTAGAGGTGACAGCCTTAAAAAGAAAACGTTTTGCCTCTGTTTCGTTCGTGTTTCCAGTTTTCTGATTGCAAATTGCAGTCTGTAGTAAATAATTACATGGAGTTGATTAGTTTAATTATATTTCCTTCAATTCTTCATGTGATTTTTTATTTTAAAAAATTGTGTGATATGTTAATGGTTAACCCGATAACCGAACCGATAAGGATCGATAACCGATTAACCGATAACCGATTAACCGATAACTTAATGGTTCTTTAACGGTTTAGCTAATCTACAAACCGATAACCGATAAGCAAAACCGATAATGTTCAAAACCGAACCGAACCGACCGATATGCAGCCCTACTTAACTAATCACATAAAATTAAAACCATGCCAAACTTGGTAAACATAACATTTACATAAAGAAAAAACACAAGTAAAATAAAGAATATTTTAGGATCACTAAATTATTATTTTTTTAAAAAAAATAAAATAAAATTCCCACGCCAAGTGTCCTGTTAGTAAAGAGAGGTTTAATAAAAATGTTTAAGAAGTTTGAAAAAAAATAAAGTGCAGACAAACAATACAATCTTCTAGATTATATGATTAATTAAGAATTAAAACATGCTTAATAAAAATAACTCCCCAATGATTTCATCTGGCTAATTTATTTATTGTGTTCGAACGTATCTTCAGCATGTTACATAGTGGAAAAAGAATAAGTATTAGTAATATATAAAAGTAGAAAAAGAATATAATTTCTTAAAATACTATATAAATTTAATGTTTAGAAATCAGAAGATAGTTTGACTTTGACGTATTATTATTAGTTGACACTATTAGAAATTTTAATGGGGTTTGTTTTCTGACCTAGCTAGAAAACCATTAACATTAAGAATAGGATATTTGAGATCTAGTTTTTATTTTATTTTATTTTAAGTTCACTAGTATAAAGTTATAGACTAGTCTTTTTTAAGCACTTGTGTGAAATCGCGTAATATATAAATAAATACTTAAATTTGGTGTCAGTTGACAAACAAGTATTTCAATTTTGGGAGTGCACAATTGGATATTTCAATTTGATCTCAACTACTAAACATTTCAATCCATTATCACTGTGTATCGTGAACACCCAACGCTAATGTGTAATACATAAATTTTGAAGGTGTCTAGATAATCATTTTGTAAGTTAAAATGTTCAACTGACACAATAAAAACATGTTGAAGTGTATAAATATACATACTTAAAAGTTGAAATATTTACTTGTCAATTGAGATCAAATTTAAATATTAATTATGTATGTAATACTACGCATTATGCCATTTGAAACAGTAAACTTTTAGATGACCTGTAAAATTACAATATTACACTTATTTTAATATCATATATTTGCCCTTGTCTCTAAGTGAAGAAAATCAAAACATATCATAAAAAAGTGATCGAATTGATGAGATCTATCCACCCAAATAAAGAAACTTTTGATATAAAAAATATTTCTCATTTTATGGGATCCTAGGAAATAATTGAGTTAATGAATTTTGAATAATATAAAAAAGGTAAAACGAAAATATTATTTTATGTGATATATATATTTTTTAATATAATTATATGGGTGAGGCAGGTGGTAATGCTTTGGTCAGTAAGGTGGACAAAACAAATAAAACAAAAGGGCATAAATAGATTAGGAATAGTGACAAATTAAAAGACTGTCATATACACAATTAAATTAAATTATAAGTTTCAAGAAAAACTTAAAAGTCAACATATGAAAGACTTCTACAACTATTTGACTTTAGCTGACTCAATGCCACCAATGACAGATCACATTAGTGTCCGATTTATTTGTGTATATCTCAATTATTTTACATTAAATACGTATTATTTACTATTAACATAAATATCGTAAGTTTTATCTATCAAAATTAAAATAGATCAAAACAAATCAATTAATATTATCTATTTGGACTGAAATTTAAACACTTATCTTAAAAAACTATATCCGATCATTCGATCACACCCTTGAATAATGAATTCTACGACATGATAGTAGTAATTTTGTGTTCACTCCCAAAACAAGATTTATGGAGCAAGATAGGCAGATTTTCCAAACAAGATATAAGTCTTCTTGTTCCCATTAAACCTTTTTTCTAGTTGTTAATTAATGACATATAGTTATTTGCAATTTAATTATATTATTATATATAGGTCTATTCAAATGAAAAAGACTGCTATTAACTGCATTTATATGTTGAAAAATATGAAATATGAACAGGAAGAAAACTTTGTGGAAATAGAATTTCTAGAAGTTCTCATATTTAATTCTACTTGTAACTCTATTATTCTAGCAATCAGAAATAAATTTTGTCCTATAACATGTACTATGGTTGACATTCTGCTGCTATATTTGTCTTTAGTAAATCTCTTTGAATTTTATTTTACTTAATTCTTTTACCATTATAAGTTAAAGAACATTATATTTATTCTTGAACATGGTTTGATGAAAATATATACTATATATTTGGGTAATGCTAAATCGCCAGAAAATTTGACCAGAATTTTAAAAAGTTTATAATATTCTTTTTATTTTAAAATAAACTGATTTTTTTCCATTTTTTAATTAAAAAATATTAAAGTTAAAAGGGTAAAAATATTTTAAAAAGTAAAATAACATTTTGAAATATGTTATTTTACCATTCTAGCCAAATTCTGCCAAATTTTCTGGCCAAAACAATTTCTCCATATTTGCCAAAGTTTACATAGTTTGACTTAGGTTCCATTGGATTCTGAAAACTCATATCATTCATCTGACACAATTTCCAAACTCAAGAGGCTAAGGGCATGTCCAACGACCTGTCTCCTTTTCCGCCTTTGCTCCTTCTTTTCAGAGCACACCAATGGAAAATTTAAGATAATTCTTAAAGCCCGTTTGGATTGACCGGAAATAAATAGTTTTTTAAAATTAAACTTAAATGATTTTTAAATCAAAATATAAAAGATACAATATATAAATGTATCCTTTAATTTGGTTTCATTTTACATTTATGACCTTTAATTTTGGATTTGCACAAATAGACACTTTCATTTGTATATAATTGAACAAATAGATACACACGTCCGACATGACAGGGAAGGACTGAAGGAGTATCATTTATTCCTGTGTTTTATTTCTTTTATTTCACTTGACTTTTGTTACAAAATATAATATGGTATTTAAAGTTCGTAAAATCCTTTATTTGAAGTAAACAAAATATTTAGAGATACCTAACAAACAAACAAAAAAGAAAAGAAAAGAAACGAAGCTTATGAGAAACTTGTGTGAAGGTTTGGAAAAAAATGGTTTAACATAGAATGTTTTAGAAAAAAAAAGAAAGCATTACTATGACAATTCTCAAATTAGCATGAAATATACTATGACAATTTTCAAGACTTACTCTTTTTTTTTTGTTTCCACTCGATATCTGGAGCCTATATTGAAGCACAGACTAAATCTAAACCGTACACTATAGGGCCCATTCGGGGGTGTCGTTCCCAACAGTGGCGGACCTAGGATTTTCGTTCAAGGGGTTCGAAAAATAAAAGTATAAACGTGTAAATAAGCCTTTAGAAATGAGACCCTTGAATTCTTTTGGGTTTAAAATCACACTTTTAGCACTTTTTTAAAATTAAAAAAAAATTGAAACTAAGAAAGAAAAAAATAAAACGATATCACAGGGATTCAAACTGGTGACATGAATCTTAATTTCAGGGGACTTGCCACTGCACCATTAGTTTCTCCTTGTTATTGAGGAGGTTCAATATATATATATATATATATATATATATATATATCTACAAAAATACAAAAAAATTACCTTATATATACATTGTAATTTTTTGCCGAGGTGGTTCGGGTGAACCCCCTGGAACTCACATGGGTCCACCCCTGGCTCCCAATGGAATTTTGTCCATACCCAGAACTTAAACCTGAGACCTCTATTAAAAATGAAACAGTCTCACCATTGCACCACGATCCATGTTGGGTCTCAAGACTCACTCATCATGCATAAATTTGTTGATTCTTGGAATTAAGACCTGGACATGCCCTCAAAGTACTATAATCTTTAGTCTAGTCTAGTCTAGTCTAGTCTAGTCAAGTCACATTGATCTATTGTTTCTACCTTATAATTCTAACATGCATGGTGGAAAATAACTAGCTATTTCAACAAATGTAAGGGCTCATTTGACACTAGTTACAGTGTTATTGAGACGAAGTCCTTCTAATTTGTATCCGTTATATATTATCATACTTTATAAGTTTTCGATCTATTATTTCCATGTAATAATATTACTAGCTTGTAATTAGCTTTTAAGTAATCTGATAATGTAACTGTCAGTACATATAAGTTACACACTCAAAATTATTAGAGAGTTAGGTAAAGTTTAACTTTTGGATTAATTTAAACAAATTCACATTTCATTATCAAATGATTCTTGTAAAACAAGTTAATTTAGGCAAGACTTTAATTGTAACTTTCATTAAAGACATTTTTTTTATGTTTAATGAAACTGTTGGAATGATTCCAACTTGTGGAAAATTAGTGAATTCATCAAGTCTTTGATAATGATCAAATATAATCAATGAAGACTTCTATATAGAAGTATTAGTCTTCTTAAATTTGTATATTGGAAAATTTCACATTAAATTTACAAGTACTTGCATCATTTTCTTCTATCAAATTTGGATTTGAGACATTAAATATTTTCAGGTGAAAGTCACTTAAGGGATGATTACTTTTCTCCCACCAAATTGTCATGCATTGAATTTGGGATTATTATTATTATCTCCGTGTGGAAGGCATAATACATAAACGTTCTTCTTAACTTAGCTTTATTTGTTATTTTTTCCCTTTAATTTTAATTTCAATGTGCACAAGTAGACTTGCACATCCTATATATGATATAATATGCATCTTACATGACATAATATAAATCGATCAGTTCAAGTATATTTCATGTGTATTGACATTTTTTATGTATAAATATAGTAGATGTTGTAATAGTTACACTCGTTGCAATATGTTTACTTTTTCATAATTTAAATCCTTTTAGTGAAAATTTTAACTCCGCAACTTTCCAAAAAAAAAAAAAAAAAAAAGGTTAAAAACTTTGAATGTCAAATTAGCAAAAAAGAAAGTTTCAAACATGATTTTAGAATATATTGTCTACATTTGAAACTTTTTATGGTGTTTAATTATTGAATAATTCATGGTGCAGTGTATAAGTGAAATAGGGGGGCATATATATAATAAATAAAGTAGAATTAATGAAAAGGTCCAAGTCTCAATAAAGTACAAAAAGGTTTTGATTATTCCATTACAAGAAGAAGCAGCTTCCACGAAAATGACATGTCCAAAATATATCATACAAATTTAGGGGTGTATGATCGGGTTAATTCGGGTTTTACAAATATCAAATTAAGTTATTTGTGTCGAATTTTTAAATTTATAAACCAAACCAAACCAACAAAACTCGGATTTTTCAACCTCGAGTTTTTTTTGTGTTTTTTTGATTTTTCAGGTTGTTTCGAATTTTTCCGGTAAAGTATTCATACAAACATATAATTTACTTGTACTTCAAATATTTCTTTAGTCCTACCAAAATACAACTATCTAAGGTGTTTCTTAAAAAAATAACACAATATGATATGATTAATGACACTAAAATATCCAACAAAAATAATAATAATGAAATCGCGTAAAACAAATATTGCAAATTAACAAGTCATAATGAAAAATGATCATAATTTAAAAGTACTAAATCATGCTAAAATAAGTTTAATAAGCATTAGTTACATGACAAAATATTAAAGAAAATTAAAATTAGATTATGTATTTTAATTGTCAAAACCAATGTAAAACTAAAGAACAAATATTCAATATTATTGTCATTCCTTAGTGTTGAATTGATTTTCTTTTTGCATTAGTATTAATTTGATTTGATTTAAGCTTTATTATAATTACTAACATTTGTGGACTATAATCTTTACTGGAATATTCAGAATTCTAAGTTTCAAATTTGAAATAATATATTTAAAGATAAAAACTATGAAAAAGTATGAAATATTTAAAAATTATATCAAAGTAAATATTTTTATGTATAAAATAAAATTTTAAAATTATATATGTATATATAATGTCGGGTTGGTTTGGTCTCAGGTTAGTTTTTTTAGTTAAAACCAACCCAACCCAAATATAGTCGGATTTTTTTTTCAATACCAAATCAAGTCAAACCAAACAACTAATCGAGTTTTTTTTCGATTTGATTCAATTATCGGTTCGATTTTGTACACCCCTATATATCATAGTGTCTATTGTCTTGTATTTAAATATTTTTTGTAATATGCTGCGTATGCTATTTGTTTTAAAATCTGACTAACTTAATTAGATTATCATCAATAAATTTTATTTGAGAGTAAAGTATTTTCTATTAAAAAAACTTTGTTGTTACGACTGAAACTCGTAATGTTTTAATAAGAATGAATAAACACTTACTATTTTAATTTACCACAAATATTGATACTTTGTATTTTCTGTTATCAATTAATTAAAACTTAAAAGTAAGACAATTTCGTTTACTAACTTCTGGTTATGCACGAGGCTGTAACATTTAGCGAACAATATAGAATTTTGTGAGTTAATCAAATTTTATATGTTTTTAAAATATTTTAAATTATTAATTATTATTATTTATAATAAAATTTTTCGTATAATTAATACAAATAGTGAAAATGATCAGATAGTTTATCATTAAAGCACAAAATAAAACATTTTAAAATAGTTACAAACATTCCACAAATTACTATGTAAGTAGCTAGCATGACCCCAAGCTCCTCACATTCCCATTTATAATATAGAGTAAAGTAAAGTAAAATATGAGCTAGGTATTTAATTTTAAAAATAAGATAAAATACTTATCATAACAGGTAAACGTGATTTGATAGTGTAAAAAATTTATTTACCTAAAACGATGTATGAAACTCCTCCAGCTTGGAGAATCATAATAGTTCAGTTGGTTGGCTACGTGAACTCCACCTTGTTGGTGAGGATTCAATTCTCCGCATTGTAATCTCTCCCCATTTAAAAAATAAAATTAAAAAAAAAAAAAAAAAAACTCCCCCACCTTTAATATATATAAGTTATAACGAGTGATTAGTGTTGAAATTTAAAGACAATGAAATAGAGATGTGAGTTAAACGTGTATAAATCTTTGTGCAAAAATAAGTATAAGATAATATGTTTTTTTTTCTAAAATAAGGCATAATACAATTGTCTTGTTAATAGTAATCCTCTTTTTTTCTTTCAAAAAGTTGTCCATAATTGTTCTGCGCTTCAAAAATATGCCTTATACTTCTAAGGGGTCATTTGGTTACTATTTAAGAGACATCTTATTCAGGTATAGAAAGTTGTATTAATCTTACTATGTTTGGTAAAAGTTTTGTATTAGGTATATAAGTCAACATAACCTATACCATGTTTGGTTGGTAATAATTTAAATGTTGTATAAAAGTTATTCATGTATTAATTTATACGGTGTTTGGTTACATTTTTTGTAGTTCTACATAATTAATACCAATATAACTTATGAGGGAATCTATGTATAAAGTTATGCAGGTAGAAGATGGAATAAGTTATGTGAGTATTAGTTATACATGTATTAAAATAACAAATTACATATTTACCCTATTAATTTTTTTTATTTTTTTTAATTAGAAACTTTACTGTTTTCCTATATACGTTTGTTGTTTTTATTTCTTTTTCTATATAGACCATTTTCATTTCTTTTAATTTATTTTATTTTATTTAATTGGAAACTTTACTATTTTCCTCTCTACGTTTGTTGTTTTTATTTCTTTTTATACATAGACCATTTTCATTTCTTTTTATATACTCACCGTTTTTATTTATTTATGCAAATATAAATATTTTTTTAATATTAGAAATTTGATTGTATATTTTTTGATGGTACATATGCTAATCAAATATTAGCATTATATATTATTCAATATATTCCATATTTTATTAGCATGTATTATTATTTTGTAAATAATATATATTAATAATTTATAACAAATTTAATATTTAATAGTTAATAATTTATGTATTGTAATCTCTACATAACTAAATAATACCTACATAACTAATATCCGCATAGCTAATACCCACATGATTAAACCCAACATTACTAAACCCACCCTACATAACTAAACCCTGCATAACTAATACATGCATAACTAATACCTACATAACTCTAACCAGTAACCAAACGGCTCCTAAATGATTTTCACATTAAAGGGGATATATATATATAATTATTATTTTAAAATAAATAAATGCGTACCCACCCACTTAATTTCCTTTTTCTCCAACATTATCTCAACGAGAAAATGATTTTATTTTTTTTTGGAAAACTTTAGAGCATAGCTAGCCATAAATTAAAGTCTATATAGTTAACCACTTAACCTACCTAAACCAGTCAAAGGCAACGTATCTTTCTAAAAAATAAAAGAGAATTAAAAAAACAACTATGAAAATAACTATTGAAGTTAGTGACAGAGTCTTATTTTTTATTAAACTGATTCAATATATAAAAAAATAAACACGAGAAATTTACAAGTTGTTTTAAGGGTATGTGAATTTGAACTACTACTTCTTATTGTCGTGAGTGGACCATTCTTTTTGAACGTGATAAGTTTAACTTATACATTAATAATATAAAAAAATAACCTAGTAATTAAATTAAAATAAAGGCAAATTACTTGCTACTCCTATAACATATCAAAGTATACTGATAATTTAAAACAAATTATTCACAAGGTATAATAATTAAGTTAATTAAATCCAAGTAATTAAGGAAATATATTCATCATCAAGAAATTAAAGTAGTAAAACATTCTTCTATAATATTATAATTCTTCTTCAAATAAAATAAGTCTCTCATGAGTTACATCTGATTTCGTCAAAAAGTCCAATTCCTTGATATTACATATTTTTATTAAATTTTCTAAAAATATATCACTAACTTTTTCTACCCCTTTTTTCTTGGGGGACAATTATAAATGTCTAATTAATTTTGACCACAACATTATTTTAATCATGTCCAAAGTGGTTCCCACGCTCCATATAAATTGTTGTCTTCCAAAAACATGCTAGTATTATCATTATTATTTTCATAATCATTAATATGATCTGAAGATAATAATAAGCTGCTGCTGCTATTTTCTGATACTTCCATGCAAACTAAGGCCAATAAATTTGAATTTTGACACTTTAAATTCAAAATTTCTGCTTGTGCTTTTGCAAATTCTGCTTGGAGTTCACTTATTTGTTTTTGTAATTGACAAATTGCACCAGCACAACCATAAACTGGATCTCTTATTCTTGCATTTGCTTCATACACCATACTATTCACCGCGTCCACTCTTTGTTCCTCTGGAAGCTCCTGAAATTATTTAGACGATATATAATGTTACATATTGTAGCAGGTTATGTTGCCTGTCTTATTATAACTATCACCATTTATGTAACGTGTAATACAATAAACAAAATATTGAATTTATAATGAGGGATGAAAATTAATGTCAAGCCACAATTTTTTTTCATGTTTGAAGTTTTGTTAGGGTCTAAAGATTGAACTTAAAAAAGAAGGTACAATTAATAAAGGGAAAGTTTGAAAAAATATAAATTTAGGGGACTAAGAAGTCGCACTACACCTAAAATTAAGTCAAAGAAAACAAAATGAACAACTAAAAGTAAGCATTATTTGCTAAAAAAAATTGGCCTAACATCCAAGACCACTAACTAATAACAAGAAATTAATATTTAGTTGTATATATCTATGTTCACATATCTTTAACAACACATGATAAATATTAAAAGTGATCAACTTTTATAGATCTTGACCACGTGTATAAATTTTTATAGTGATACGACTTGTCTGTTATAACATGTTAAAATACACTAACAATAAAAACATGTAATTAATTATGTATTGAATATGAAAACAGATGAATGAATATGAATGTAAAATAAGATCTAGTATACCAATCAAAACGTACAAAAATAAGACAAATTACCTGCAATAATTTGATGATGTTGCTAGCACCAAAGACTCTATGAGCAATGGTGAACTTAAGAGGGTCAGTGGGAGGAAAATAAGGTGCCAAAACACATTTCTCAACACATCTCCTACGAAGGATTTTACAAGCAGCACATGGAGAAAGAACAATATTCATTGGAGGAGTTGATAATAATATGCTACTTTTAGGTGACAATCCACTTGTTGGAGTGGTAGAAATAGTACTAGCAAACGTTGATGATGATGAATTCATTGAAGAAATTGTTGTTGTGGTTTTGTGATCACTACATTCCATGGTTGTTGGTTGGGGGGGTGGGGTGGGGGGGGGTGAGAATAGGAAGTAGTGAAATATTGCTGTGTGTGTATGTTTGAAGTCTAAAATGAACACTATGGTGTGATTTAAGAGTTTGGTGTGTTAACAATATATATAGGAGGGACAGACAACACCTCGGGCCGGCCGGGCCGGGCCGGGCCCACATGGACTATTTTGGGCTTTTGAATATTTTTTGGAAAAAATAATTTTTATATATTGATAATGTAGATTTTTTTTTTTTTATTGGTAAGTTATCTTTAAAATAATTTTAGGTAAATGTTTGTAGAATTTTGAAAGGCCGGTTATACGGTATAACAGGTTAAAATAAATAAAATTTATATTGTTAATGTATGTATAAGTTAACGGAATATGGTTAGTGAGTATTTATGCAGCTGGCATTAATTTATTTGGGATTGAAGTATGATTATTGTTGTAATTTATATAAGCTAAGTTAGTTTTAAAATAAATATAATTGAGAAGAATTTATTTAATTTTTGTGTATTTTTAAAAAATTATTATCTAGTTAAGTTGACCTATATGCTATACTAATATATTAATTTTCATATAAATTTTGATATGTAGTAATTCGAAAAATAAAATGATAACCTATTATAGCTGATTAAATTACACTGATAATGCAGATTTATTATAATAATAAAGATGTGTTTGGGTGGTGACTGTTTTATGGAATTTTGGAATTGTTCCAAAGAAAGACTTTTTAGAAAAAAGTATAATTGAACATTTTTCTTTCCCAAAAGTAAATTTTAGACAAGTTTGTGTGACCAAACACTTAAAAAATATTTTGAGGAATAATGACCTCATCCTATGCCATTGGGTGACGTATTTTTAAATAAAAAACACTAAACTTCTAACAATCATTTTGAACTATGAAACATGGGTAATGGTTAAAATTAGGACAAATAACTTAATCTTATCCTAATAAGATTGTTAGAAGCATTAATTAAGGAGCAAAAGACTGCAATGTTTTTGAACGACTAATTAATGCAACTTTGAAGAATGGATATGACAAAAACGTATTCATGGTCTTATCTAACGCTAAGGGCTGTTTAGTTGGGAATAAATTATTTGAGGATAATTGATCTTAGTTATTTCATCATGTATATGAGATAATTTATTCCATCATTATAACAAAAATGATGGAATAACTAATACATGACTACCTAAATAACTCCAATCAAACATGGGATAAAATAGTCCTACATTTTATCCTGAAATTATTATACCTTATACCTCACACCAAACTAGCTTTGAATATATTATTGGTGAATGCAAATCAAGTATATATCTTGTAAATAAACATTATATATACAAGAGCCTATGTCGGTATGAATTTAATAAATGTTATTTTTTTTATTTCAATTTATATAATATGAATATATTTTGATAAGTCATTCAGTTTTTTATATGATTTTTGAATATTTTAAGTTGTTAATTATTGTGATTTATAGTACTTTTTATGTTATTTCATAATAGTATATATTACATCCTTTGTCCTATTTTTGTGGTATCAATAGAATTTCGAAAGTCAACCGAATTTGTTCATATGTTTTTTAAATATTTCAAGTTGTTAATTATTATAATTTATAATAATATTTATATAAAAATATATAATATACTTAAAAAGTAAAATAAATAATTTAAAATGAAAAAAATACATAATAAATAATCAAATTATCATTATCTAGAAAGCAGACATGTTCATAACCACTTGCTTCCTAGACCTTTTTAAATACTAATATATTTACTAGTTAATTATAGTCAAACGATAAAATATGTATTAATTTTTTTTTTTATTAAATTTAAGTTTATTAATTTATTATAAACACTAGGAGTAAATTTATTAAGATCGAATTGATCAAACTCTCAACCTTAGTCTAAAAAGTGGATCGTCTAAATGTCAAAATGCTAAAAGTGATGGATATCATTTAGTATAAAATTTTCTATTATTGTATAAACCAACTTTGATTATTTTTCTTCAAGGCTCAAGCCTAACTATATTTGATTTAATTATGTATTTCTCTTGATTCTTTCTCTTAAAAATAAAATAATTAATTATTACCTAATATTCGATCATGTTGTATATTTTAGTGTTGATTTAAGTCAACAAAAGTATTCTTCAAAGTCTTAAGCTGAATGCACACTGACAATTTTCAATAACCAACCCCACCCCTCCCCCAACTCTAATGAACCTAAAAAAGAATAGTCAATTTTTTTATTTTTGGATATTTTAGCCCCAAAAAATAATTCAATATATTTGTACATCCTAAATAATTCAATATATTTATATTTTAAATACATTTTTCGTCTTCTTTAAAACAACAAAATTCATACTAATAACATAAATGGTTTCATGAATTAGGTGTTAGACAATCCTTTTTTTTTTAAGGAAATATATTATTAATAAAATTAATCACTAAATACTCTATGTAGTATTTTTGTTAATCTTCGTAGAGCTCTCTATTGCATTAAATTTAGTGATGATATTTAACAATTTTTTTTTTATCATATCCCTTTCATCTATAAAATAGATCTACAAATTAGATTAAAAGTAGTTTACCAAATTTTAGTCATTTTTTTGTTGTGTATATCAGATAAGAATGGCAAAATCAATCTAAATCCGCTCAATCTATTCAATCATTTCTATTGATTGGGTATGCCATGTTGGTTGAGTTAAGAAATATTTCGTTACAACACTTGTATTGCATGCATGATAAAAGTTTTTTCTACCTCATGACAATTAATTTGATCCGCTCATTTGCTACCTGACTCTTAATTAGCTCTATAATTTATTCCTATTTATGGATATTCCACTTTTTTCCTCCTAATTTCGAGAATGCCATGACAGGACATCCCAAATTCCTTGATTAGTGCATAGTAATCACTAATACAAAAATGTAATGTAATGATTTGCATGACCAATAAATATTTCATTTAATCCAAAAGTACATTTGGAATTAACTTAAAATAAACTGATCTTTTTTCCATTTTTAATTAAAAGATATTAAAGTTAAAAGGGTAAAAATATTCAAAAAAATAAAATAACATAATGTGAAATATGTTATTTTACCATTCTGACCAAATTCTGACAAATTTTCTGGCCAATTTTTTTTTCCTTTATTTATTTAGATAATCAGAACTTTATAAAAAGCTATTAAAGAATGCCACGTCGTCAATAATTTTATTCCGGTGCCGACTTTTAAGTAAGGAATTATGACTATTCATATATAGCCATAACTAATAAAACATTTTACATTTCTAGCTACCATTTACTAACTATACTGATTTGGCCATTTTCTGAAAATGACTTAAATATTTCTAAATAACAAAAAATAATATATATATATATATATATATATATATATATATATATATATATATATATATATTACAAAAGGTCTTCATGTAGTTAAAGACTGTTGAGGCTCGTGCTTAACGAGTCTAGTGACCTTTTTTTTTTTCTTGCAAAATGATCTTTCAAACACACACGCTAGGGATTCATTCCGTAGAAGAAATTACACAACATATATAAAATAAATTTTACGTAGGATTCTTAGTTGTTATTAATAACTATTCTGAAATAAAACTAAATTAGAGCGTATTAAATATCAAGTTAGATTTTAAAAATCTTGAAATATATGTAGTTTGTGGCTTCGCCTTATATTAACCAATTTTTTTGAGTCGAGTTTTTCTTATTAGGAGAATAATTTAGTTGGGGCTTCGGGCATCGAGTGGAAAATTAAAAAACAAATGTTAGTGTCACAACGTAGATCGTCGTGAGTGACACCCACACTGACCATCTGGTGGGAGAATCGATGACTAACCCAAACTTAACTCATCAACTATTTTAAGCTGCAACTTATAATGTAAAACACTAAGGAAACAATTGCAAAATTTAACCCCTAGAATCTGAAAGTCATAGTACCAAAATTCTAATTCGTCAAGAATGGGGAACCAACCCCAAAAACTAGAAAACATAAATCTAATAATCTAAAATTTCTATGTCCGGAAAGATGGACAAAGAAGTGAAGAAGAATCCATGGCAGCACGAAAGAGTAGCTCACCCTTGGATTTGAATATCAAGTGTCCCTTAACTGAGGTCTCGTATCAACCGCCTGAATATATCCTATACTAAAAAAAAGTATAATATCAATACACAACCACCGTGTACGGATATGATCATACGGACGGTTCCAAAACATCATTATAACCAAGTAACTACAAAACATTAATACAGGCTAACACACACACATGCACACATGCACACATATACGCAGACACACACTCACTCTTGAGGACACACAACAACCTCAATAAGCTATCCTGAAGTAATGGTGTGGCTGCGTACTCTGGAGGAACCTGGTCTCTCCTACATTAATCTCTAGCTCGAGAGAGACATCTTTGCCAGACCTCTCAAGGGTGCCACTCCATGGGCACGACCTCTGATCGTAGCTCGGGTTCTACCTCTACATCTATCTGGGGTCTCAAAAACTAACTCGAGTACTAGCTTCCCTCCTTTACCGCCAATAGAAGATATACTCCTCGCTATCTGCCAAATGAATACGCGAAAACTCAATACTAGCTAAGGTAACCACACACGATAAGAATGAATGAATAAAAAGGAAGTTTTCTAACCATTTTCATAGCCTCTCGAAGATGAACAACAAATAACTTTGCATCGATCATCGAGACTCTACTTGACTTAACTTGTACACTTATGAGTCCTATGAACTTGGGGCTCTGATACCATTTGTCCCGATCCAAAAACTGGCGTGATGATACTCGTCGTACCCCACTGCGATAAGTCAGCCTAAAACCCAACGGAAGAGATAAATGCAGAAGCAAAACAGAATAAAAGACTAACATAATGCAACAACGCTGATAACATAACATAACTCAAATATAACCCCCCAAAACCTAGTAGTCACATGTACAAGTGTCACACCTCGAGCCTACACCCTGGA